GGTAATCTATCCAAATTTCAAATAAAAAGTCCATTCCTTAAAACTACATATTCATTAAAATTCCTAGAAGAATGTCAACTGTATTCTTAGTAACACAAAAATGGATTCCACTGGCTTCAAGATGCAGGTTTCCAAAAGCAGTGTATCATTGTCTAGACAGTATGTTACTTTCCTTACCATGTTGAAAATAAATATAATGTCCCATGGTTTCCAAAGGAAATTATTTTGCTTTGACAGCTCAGATTCAGAAGTTTCAAAGTAAAAATAAACATAAAATTTCAAATAGGGAATGTTTGGGACTATCCTATTTCTATACAAATATTTGGATGGAAAGTCATAGAATTTGATACAGCACTTGTGAAATAAAAGGAAGTAAAGTTAACGATAAGTTTTACCTCATAAATATTACAAACATTTCATTAAATGGATAAACTCCTAAAATCAAATAGGAAACACTCTGAAATTCAATCCTTATTTAAAAGGCTACAGTTTATACTAAAGACATTGTGTGCCAGGGAGAAAGAAAGGAGTTTGAAATGGAATAGAAATATGTACCATTCTTAAGTGAGTTGATAGCAAACTTCAGTACTGAGTCACTTCTTCCAAGGAGCATAAGAGATACCACACACAATTTTAACGTCATTTAGTTTATTGATATGATCCAAACAGATTGAGCTTAAGAAATGAGGAAAGATCACAAAACAAGATATGGCTGAACTATACCCAACCAGTGACAATTTTATTGTGGAAAGTCAGTTTGTAAACTAATAGAAAAATAAATCTACAATAGCAACTATGACTCAAATTGAGCCGGTATGCAGCATGTGTGACATCCAACATGCTGGTGCAGTTCTATGCAGGCACCCTGCAACCATTGACCTGGGAGCCCAGAGAGGATCCCTTGCACCTGCAGCCAGATACATGATCTCCTCGGTCTACAATCAGCTCCATTCCCTTTCTATGTTTTCCGCATCTTTTTCTTTTGCACCTTTTTCTCTTTCGAGAGTGAAAGACCTAACAAAGAAGCCTGGCTGGTTGTGCTGAGCAGGAGTGGGAAACAAACTCGTTGAGTTGGGGTTTGAGGAAAACAAACAGATGCAGATAGCAACGAGAATAGAACAGACATCAAAAAGCACTGCAGTGAGGGTCCACGGTGCTGCACAGGAAAGGGCAGAGGGGAGAACATGGAGAGGAAGGAAGGCCCGCCGAAATGTGTGGGAAGTCACACCCAAAGACTGCGTGCGATAAGGAAGCAAACTGGAGTGGACAGTAATTTTCTTTATATTTTTAAGGTGAAAGAATTTTTAGAAAGGAATAGAGACACCAAATTTATAAGTAAAATAACAACAATGGCTATTTAAATAAAGCAGAATATGGAAGGAAATAATTCTTTCACTTCCACTTGACTTTCCCCAGTTTTTAAAAAGGTTACACAAGTCAGGCGACTTTTGTTTTATTGGCATGAAAACACATATCGGACCTTTCTGATGGAAAGAAGAAAACCCAAGTGAGGTCTCTCACAAACTGCGCGGGAGGGGGTGTTTGCAAGGAAGGTCTCAAGGCTCACGTGAGCAGGCTTCGAGACCTGAGAGTCTTTGGCCTGCCCATGAAGTAGCAGGCTTGAATCACAGAAACATTGCCACCCAACACCACAGGATCATGATCACAAATAGACGTTGCCCAGGGAGCTGCCGAGTACCACGAAGCCCACCAGCAGCTTGAGAGAGTAGCTTCTGTGCAGAGAGTAGGAAAGAGACCTTTCGCACACCAAAGGCTCCGCTTTGTAGGGTCTTTCTATGTCCGGCGGTGATGCTGTCATCCCTTGAATCTGAAGAAGGTAGAGCAGGCAATGCCAATGAGTATTCAGCCTAATGACAAGATTTCAGCCCAGGCTAAGTTGCTCAGCTCTAGACCACTGCAAGGATACAGGATGTGGGGCGGGGAGGGCTGCTGAAGGAAGAGAAAGGTCAGGACAGGAGGCAACTTCCGCACTCACCGGAAGTTGGGGTATAGAACTAGGCGAGCATCTTTGAAAGAAGAGATAACACAAAGTAGATTCCCGTGCTTTCAGAAGCTCTGAGATCACCGTACTTCCACTTCATCCTTATTCTAACTTTAGGGAATTCCAACTTTAGGGTAAATTTCCCTCTACAAAAAGAGTGGAATCTGGGGGTTTCAGCTAATCCAAAGTAATTACAAAACGTAAACATCATCAGACACATCAAAAAACAGCTCACCACTGAGATTTAAGGACATGTGTCTGTTCCTTAGATTTTTCTGTTGTGGATTCAATTGAAAAGTAACATCTGGTGTCCCAGAAAACTAAGACAAAAATGGAACTCACCGACCACTCTGCATTGTCTGTCTTGGAGCACCTCACGTTTACTTGCAGGCTAAGTACAAGGTTATTGAAGGAAACACCTTCCTTTTTCGTCCATTTAAATTTATTCATAGCATCCATGAAAGAAAGGTTTTTATACTGTTTGGGGCTTTTGATAATGAAAGGCCAGGTCCTGAATTTAAAATAAATAACCATAATTAGTTAGATTAAGAACAAAACATTATAGACCCCATATTAGTCAATAATAAAAAAAAAATAAGCTTCATGCTTGTATTTTTCTGTTTTTCTTTGTTTGTTTGTTTTTTACACAAAGAGATTAACTAATGCTAAGCCTTGCATTTATGGGCAGTTTTTAGAAAAAATACAGACTAAGTGCAGTCTTTCAAAAATGAGATTTCTTGTAGTAGCAGATAAACATTCCATTTTGACAAATAATTTTGGCTTAGGAAATTCTGTAAGAGCCTCACAGTTTCTCATTGCTTTGTTTTGACTCCAGTTAAAAATATAGCTGGTGGGCCCTCCCTGGTGGCGCAGCGGGTTAAAGCACAGCACTGGGAATCTAAAGCCGCTTCCG